CTGGACTTCAGGAGGTTTCAGTGACCATTTTATTCTCTTCCCTATTGCAGTCTGTACATAGTAAACTCAAAAGCCAAGATACCTGTTGAAAACAAAAAGGAATATGCTTGATTTTAGAAGTTAGGTATTTAGCCTGCAAAAATATATTCCACTACTGTAATAAAAAAGGTAACTAGAGATATGCTGTGCTTACAGAGCATGTCTCATAGTGTTATGGGGACTTTTTAATCCTTTTTTTCCTTGTGCATTGTAGTAGGACAAATACTTCTTATCCTGAAGGGTATGAGCTGCAGATCAGTCTAAGCTATTTCGAGGAAACATGTCTGCAGGTCTTTTTTGAAAACAAGCTGGTGCCTTGCTCACTGCTGCTTGTAGTGTTGTGAGGTTTGTGAGAGCTAACAGGAATTCAGCATTAAAATGATGTGTTGAATCATGCTAAAATGCTTTTCAAAAAGAATGGTGACAGTTAGTACTAGAATTTTCTTTATCATATAAATCTGATGTGAGGCCTCAAAGCTAAGCATGAGTTAGTCATGTATTTATTTCTTTTAGAAGTCATTATTAATATAAACATTAGACAATATTGTGTTTATGGAGAGAACTAGGGGAAGAAAAATAAATTCTTTAAGATTTATAATGATATTGTTAAAGTCCTTTCTTTCACTCCAGGAATTATAAGGTAAAATATACCTAAAAGGAAATTAAATTGCAGGGAAGCTACCAATTAAAATTGAAAAAACTAATAGGTATTCGCTTCTGCATTTCTACTTAAATAGATGCTTACTGTGTACATCTTCTGAATATGTTTCTGCTGGAGGGCTTAATATGCTCAGTTATTTAATATGAATCTCTTCAGCAGGCAAAGAGCACTTACTCCAGAATCTTCTTTAAAAGCACTACTATTTTTTTAACATGGCAGCAATTTCAGCATAAAGATGACCTGGTCTTCCATTTCTATTACATGGAGAAAAATGTTTTTCTCAGATTATTATTTCATGTTATTATTTGGGGGGTTTGGCATATGTGAATTGTAGAGTTAGGGAAAGTTCAGTATCCTTTTAATAGCTACTCAGGGAATCAACTTTTAGCCATTAAAATATTTGGCTATAGCTTTGCGAAAGCATAACTATTCCCATCTTGCCATGCTCTGACATCGTATCTTCTGTAATCTATGTTAGTTATGGATAAAGAACGTAATATTTCTTCAGAAGATTCCTTTATCACTTAAGCAGCAAAAAGTAACACTTTTAAATAAGTAACTATTTAGATTTATAGCTTTTACATGCTGAGACTCTGGACTGTAAATCTTTGTATGGCTAAATAACTATCATGTTTGTCTCCTCAAAATGAAATAATTTTTACATGCTTTCACTGGGGAACATTAAACCCTTTCTAGCCATTAAACCGATGACTGAAGAAGCATTTTACTCTGCCCCTGCTGTGTAAATTGGTGTAAATGGTTATTATGCCTCTATGTTCAAGGGTGAGATGCAAACCAGGTGCCTAAAGAAACCATCGTCCAAATTCATACATGTAGAGGTACTGAAAATTTTGCAAACAGAATTTACAGCTCAGTTATTCTAGTGTAGATGAGCAGAGCTTCGGACCGTTGCCAGCTTGCTTTGCCCTTCTTTTGCTTTAGAGAAATATTGCACGGATTTGTTTTCCTGGGACAGGACAAGCAGTTGCTGACAGGAAATCAGAAAATCACCATAGACATTTCTGTGAACTCCAGACATTACTTCTTGCCCCCCACCCTCCTCGTTTGGAGAGAGAAGGAACAAAGTTTGGAGATTTTAAGGATTTTCTAAGAGTTAAAAATTAGTGTCACATGCTGCACGTTATGCTGATGTGGGCTGTGCACAGTTCTGGAAACACTTTCATTCTGAACATACACCTAGAACATGGATACAGACAAAAACTATGAAACTTTGGATCTGGGATCTTTAATTTTGGATAGAGACAACATATGAATTTTCTTCCTTACCTTAGAATCAGGTATGAATACACTCATCTCCTTGCATTTAAGTACACTCATTAAAGTCTTTGTGATTATTCATACAGTTGGGTGAAGTACAGATCTGGCAGGCTGTAGCCTGAAATAGAAAGCTCTGGGACAGGACCTGAGACCATGTTACTGAGCTTTGAAGCCAACTGAGACTCTGGATATGCAGAAATACCCTGTGGACTCAATGTGCTACACACATACTTTTAGAAGGCAGCTGAGAAAGAAAACAGGGTAGTGACAGTGAAATGGCTGAGTACTGAGGAGCCTGTTTGAACATGTGTTTCCATGAAGTGGGAGGTACCAGGTATATTGGGTTGCAGACTGTGTTCAGAATATCCAAAGCCAGCACTTGGAAAATCCAGAAACTCGAAAGAAATCCTTGAAGCTTGTGAGAATCATTCTCAGCTACTAGCTCTTGCCAGGGGAAATTACATTTGCCTTTGGTAAGCAGACCTCATTAATCACAGTTTCAAAGGCTTGGTTATTAAACTTCCCTTTGCTTTATGAAATAATTGCAAGGGTCATGCTGTAACGTATCGACTGGAGGAAGAAAGC